CCTCCGGAATAAACTGGGATCTCGCGGAAATGCTATGGGACAAACGTTTCGAAAGGCTGTTGTTTAGAGAATATGAAGTATTTTGCAGGGTCTTAATTTGCACGATCTTAATCCCCATGCGGGCACAGTGAGTGTTTGCTGATTCTACTAGCTGAAACGCCAAACCATTTGCTTCCATGCCGCCCAAATCTTATGCAGGTTTGAAAAGTCGATGTGCTACCGTAAGATCGTGTATTAATAGCCGATGGAAAGCAGTGCCAGTGGCACATGTTTACAGTGGTAGACTGCACGTGCAGACAAAGTTATTGAGTACTTCTTGCAAGGCATTGAAGTTCTTCGGCGAAGAGTGAACCCTGTGTAGTTAACTGCTGTGTCTTCCGAATTATATCATTGTGAAGTGTTACAGCACGCGAACAATGGTTTATAAGTTTGTTCAATTTGCTGCTAAGCATGACGCATGTTCATTCAAGTGTTTTAGAAATATTGAGTTTTAAGTGATTTGAGCACGAATACTAATGTTTCAGAGAGGATGCATTTCTAATATACATCTCAGTCTTCAGCCGACCTCGCAGTACTGCTGTATCATTAGCATTCCTTGTACATTTCCATAATTATTTACTCATACTTCGTGAGACTTAAGAAGATATATGTCAGTATGAATATTTTCGTAGTACGATCGATTACGAGGGCTGTTCTGGTCAGAAGGTTTTTTTGACGATGCCCCGCTGTTGAACAGCGTGGGTTCCCCTACGCTAATTGTGCCTTCATTCGAATTGACTAGAGAATCAGACAGACGTCGTTTACTTCGGATGCATCGAGTCGGCCACATTTTTCACTGGCGGTCTCTTCCGTAGTTGGGGCTCTTAACTGTAAAATTTATGAATATGATTAAAAGAATACTTTTCAAGGAATCGTTGCACTATAAAGTGATTTGCACTTGACTGATTTTGTTCAGAAGCTACATTTTTGCACAATCATCACTTTTTCCAATTAGGTGCATGTGCTGAAGCTGCTCTCTCTAAAGCTTGAATGACATGTGGTCGTCTAAGTCTAAGAACCCGAAATGTCTTCATTTTCAGTACCAAGAATTCGGGTTTTTTAGAATCAACATTATGCCAGGACATCATTAGCATTTCACTCGCAAAGATTTTTTATTCACATTACCCACGATTCAATCGAACTGTTTGGTCTTTTCTATTACATATTCACTGTTGTGTTAGGAAGCAGTCCAGGCCGTCATTTGATTGGCACTGAATGTTCCTTGTTTTTCCGTTGAATGTCTCAGTTATCAAAACAAGCAGCCTTTGTGACACAGTGTGTTTGACTGACCGACTTAGGGAGGTTTCACTATATATAGCACTGTAGGGCACACCATCCAGTCGAGTGGGTGTTTTTCGAGCTAACTGTATGAATTCGTCGGTTGCCGTTCGGCACCTTTTATGAAGAAAGTAGTTCAAGTTCGTCTGATCGAAGTTACTTCGTGTTCGTAATTTTCGTCTGTATTAAATCATGTTCTGCTTTGATTTTCTCATCGGATCATTGATAGTGTGGATTTTTCGTCGCCTTAGAATGTCGTGTACATGATATAAGAAACCGTTGTCTTTCCTGGACTGTCTTTCAGCTACGTGTCTGTTATAGCTTTATACCGCATTTCACAAGCGCCTCAGCTCACAGTTGGTTGGTTTCGAGGAGATTTTCAAAATCGCTGGCTACCGACTATGTACCGATCAAAGCTGGCGACTGGACGGTGCTGTTGACAGGTCGGTTTTGTTGGAATGTGCTGTCGATTGTTTCTTGGCCAGCGTCGAGTGCCAGTTGCTACAGACTGTATTCGAACGCATTTCGCACACTAAGTACTCCTGGTCACAACTTGTGTCCTATCGACTGACCAATCGCAGGTCGATCGAATCGACTGTTGCAGAGTTGAGGAAGGAAGATTTTGTCGTGCCGCTGGTAGAACGAAGCTTCAACGGTGACACGGAAATTGCTGAGCGCTCGTCACTGCTGCCGACTTATTCGTTGAATGGTTTGGATAAGCCGCTGCGCGACACAGCCTCCTCTCATCAGCCGTCGACAGGGGCTGTAGGCTGCGGCAACGTGCTCAATGTTAAAATCAACCCCTGCCTTCCATATCGTGATTCCACCATCCCTGATCAGAATGTGTTCGATGAATCGGCACCAGATTCATTCGCCTCAGCACTGTCATCGTCGGCAGAATTAGTAGGCGAATCTGCGTCTACCGGAGAAAGTGATCTGCAAAGATCGTCATCGACCTTCACGTCGATTCCTGTTCCTGATCGTTATAATAGCTTAGCAACCGGTGTTACTCTTCCTGTGAAACCCTCTCCAGATTTAGTCCAGCCGATCAGCAGTCAACCTTCGTACTCGCTGCGTGAATCGGTTCTTTATTCGAATGCAGCTATGGGTACTGGCGCGAGATTACGGTGCAGTGCTGACGAAAACCCGAAACCTCAGCAGAGTCTCGCACAGTCGCCATCTTTGCCATCGGCGTATCGTTTTTACGAAGGCGCTGCTGCGCGTGATCTTTCGAGGGTGGGAATAGACAATACGCCGGCTAGCAACGGTCAAGACTTCCTTTGGACGTGTCCGCACTGTTCACTGGCTAACATCAGCAAAACATTACTATGTCCTCGCTGTCTCTCGTTTATGGATAACGTGTAATATGATTTTATTGTTGTTCAACGAGATTTGTTCCTAAATCAACCATGATGCTACTAATAATGATTTTTCGCGAAAGTTGTATTAAAACTTTATCCCATGAAATGTTGATTATTTTATTCACTTATCACTCATCCGTTGAATTTGATTATCATCTGACTCGGCGCACGAAAGACTCTCGGAGCAACACTGATCTGGTATGCATTGTTATCGCCCTTTAGGAGGCGTGCAAGTTTCTTGCTTTACGTGTCGATCTAGAGATCGATCACGAAATCATGCAGCATTCGTCTGACAGTAGATACTGGTGCCGAAGTTTCCGATGCATCCGTTGTACGATCCACTTTTCTACATCGCTCTCTGCGTCTCTGAACAAGATGGTCACGTTTCGTCTAGCGGCTACGAATTCGTTAGTTACAGACAAAATCTAAAGATCGATGGTAGCGCCTTTCCTTGACTGCCAACGTTTTGGCCAGACAGCGTTCGCCAAAACGTTATTAATAAAAATTAGGGTTTGTCGTCGGTTTTCTAGTTGTGTTCTACCGGTTATACTGAAGAATAAGATACACATTCAAAACAATTTAAACAGTTATGATATTCAGCGTGAAGTGCAATGCGTAGATTAGAGCAGTGGCGTTGGTCGTTTTCACTCTTTAAGTGCGTTGTTCTTCATATCGTATATCTCAACCTGCGCCACTCGTTCTGAAAATATATTCCTGTACTCTTTATGATCAGTCGTTACAATAGATCAGTATAAAGAGGTATAGAATAAAAGGATAGAATTGTTTGGCATAATATTTTCACAGAAAAATTAAGAATGCAAAAACGGATTCGCATTTTTCGACTTTACCTGCTAGGTGATCTCTTTGTTGCTTATGTCCAGCTATGTTCCAGAAACGAGGAACGTTTCTTAAAATATGTTCAGGCGGTTTCTGACCTTTGTGTTCATGTATGAGAGTTACAGAAAGTTTATTGCACACTATACTTATGCGTGCACTGGCACAAGCATTTCCAACACTGTCGTTGCCTGTTGTGAAAACTGTCTATGGTGCCCTATTTTACGATCCATTCATTCTCCTGCTCGGGAAATCGCAGTTCTGATGGCTTGAATACGCAAGGTGAACTTTTTTTCAAAGCCACATCTCAGGCCGCTGAATACTTAGGATGTGATTACCGAAATACATCCAGTTCTG